AACATTCTCTAAAAAATATTGCCCCTCTGTGTCCCAGGCTGGTCCAATGTGGCCGGCTAGGTGATCATTAGGTACTTGTCTTGGGGCAGCCCGTACTTGGCCTTATGCTCCTCATAAGGCCAATCTAAACAAGAGCTTGTAGACCAGGGTACTGAATTATCATGGTGGCCTCAGTTGCAAATTCAATCAAGTATGATAAAGATGCGAAAATGTATGGTTTTTATAAAGAACAATGTTTGATAGATACTGTTAACCTCTGATAAAAAACTGATTAACAAGCTATATAACTTTCTATTAAATTAAAAAATGGAGGATGAACAAGTGAAACAAACAATGCTACAGTGGGCAGAAAACGTTGGATATAATATAGAATTAGAGAAATGGCAAAATCTTTGGGAAATAAATTATAAATTGACCTTGGCAACTGCTTATAAAAAAACTGATATAAAATGTCCTATAGATGGCATTTGCCACCTGCTAGATTAGCAAAAATCTTTTAAAATATGTCCAATAAATGTTGGAAATATAATCAAACACCTGGCTTGTATTACCATATGTCGTGGCCTTGTGTTAAAGAAAAAAAATTTGGGCCAAAAGGCATACTTGGTTAGAAAGGATGTTAGGGAAACATGTAGAATTTAAACCTGCACTCTTTTTATTAGGTATAATATCAGGAAATTTTAATAAGCCAAGTGCATATTTAACATTGGATAGATTAACAGCAGCAGGGATTGTATTTGCTCAGCACTGGAAGAAAGAAGAAACACCACTAGACAAAGAGATAATCAAGAAGATATTGGACTGTGCTCGTTGAGAATCAAAGAGAAAGAAGATACAGAATATTTTCAAACATGGAATTTATTTCCTCAATGGTTGGAGAAAAGGGGTAGACCCTAAGAATGTAACTTGTATTATTAAGCAAACAAATTGAACCAGACAACACCATGTTTATTAAGCACTAATCAAATGTAATAATAGAAAATTAGAGTTGGAAAGGACCTTGGAGGTCTTCTAGTCCTGCTCAGGCAGAGGACTCTATTACTATTCCTGAAAATGGCTGTCTGGTCTCCTCTTAAAAACCTCCAGTGACGCAGCACTCACAACGTCTGGAGGGAAGCCATTCCCAAAGAATCAACCTTCACTTGAAGGAGACTTTTGAAATCTTCCCACCAGCAGAAAATCGCAGCCCCCAGTTTAACAGCCTGCAGCATCAGTGGACTTAAAAGTTGGGGAGGGAAGGGATTTGCAGCAGCAGCAGCTGAGATGCTTCAACCGAGTTGCTTCTCTGCTTGGACGCCGTGGAGGAAACCAAACAGCCCCGCTTGCCCCTGGCTTCTTCTCCGACTTGCCCTCTACTCACCTTTCAGCTGCTGCTTCAATCCGGGAAGAGCACAAAATCATCCCCACACCCCATCTTCTTCCAATTAGTCATCAGGAAAAGGAAGTTCCTCGCCGCTTCCCCTCTCCTCTCCTCCTTTCTAGCAATATAGTACTCGATGGTTTTAATTCCTTTAAGCTCAACCACAGATGCCACCTACTGTATTGTCCGTTTGCTAAGCACAGATGTTGCCTTTTTCACCGCGGATAGGAGGCGGAAAAACACGCTTCTCTCCTCTCTGCCTAAGGCGTTTGCACGATTTCCCCCCTGACTAAAAGCTATCAAGTCGTTTCTGACCTCTAGCAACCGACCTTTGCAATAGCCTAGTCCAGGGGTAGGCAACCTCGGCTCTTTTATGATACATGGATTTCAACTCCCAGAATTCCTGACTCAGCTATGCTGGGGAGTTGAAATCCATGAGTCATAAAAGAGCCGAGGTTGCCTACCCCTGGCCTAGTGAAACGTGATGCTAGTGAGGGAAGTTAGCCCAGGGAAGGAAATATTAAAAGGGCAGAAAAATATATTTTTCCTCAAAAGGACTTTTTTAAAACCAAACCTTGCCCCAAATCTATCTCTCTGCCCCAAGCAAGACTTTAGCCCCATACAAATGCAGATGTAAAACCATCAGAAAGTTGGAGCCAGAGCAATCAAGAAGACAAAGGAAAAATCTGCATACCCCACCCCACCTGACTTCTAGCAACCGACCTTTGTAACAGAGCCTAGTGAAATGTGATGCTAGTTAGATTAGTTCCATTAGATTAGCTATATGCTGAGCCCTAAATGTTCATGACAGTTTTACACAATTATCCAACCAGCTTTCCTAGGGGTGACTCTCAGGGGAGATCAAAAGCTCTTTATACCCAAAATCTTTATGATTTACTTAATGTGGCACCAAACAGCCCCGCTTACTCCCGGCTTCTCCTCCGACCTGCCCTCCACTCACCTTCCAGCTGCTGCTTCAATCCGGGAAGAGCACAAAATCCTCCCTACACACCATCTTCCTCCGATTAGTGATCTGGAAGAGGAAGTTCTTCGGCGCTTCCCCTCTTCCTTTCTAGCAATTTAGTACTCGATGGTTTTAATTCCTTCAAGCTCAACCATAGATGCCACCTACTGCCACTTGATAAGCACAGATGTTGCCTTTTTCACCGTGGATAGAAGGCAGAAAAGTAAGCTTCTCTCCTCTCTGCCTAAGGCGTTTGTACGATTTCCCCCCTGAATAAAAGCTATCAAGTCATTTCTGACTTCTAGCAACCAACCTTTGCAACAGAGCCTAGTGAAATGTGATGCTAGTTATATTAGTTCCATTAGAAGATTAGCCATGTGCTGAGCCCCAAATGTTCATGACAGTTTTACACAATTATACAACCAGCTTTCCTAGGGGTGACTCTCAGGGGAGATCAAAAGCTCTCTATACCGGAAATCTTTATGACTTATTTAATGTGGCTCTCAAAGTTTTAGGACAGTGATGGCGATCCTTTTAGAGACTGATTGTCCAAACTGCAACCCAAAACCCACTTATGCATTCTCCAGTGCCGGGTGGGTGTGGCCAATTGGCTGGGTGTGGCCAGTTGGCTAGGCATGGCTGTGGTAGTAACGGCAGACTGGGTGGGACTAAAAAGTTCAATCAATTCCAACTTTTGCAAGATCTTCCCCCCCCCCCAAGAAGTTGAAATTGACTGATTGAACCTTTTTTTTTTTTGCACATGGTCACCCCAGTCCTAGGCCTTCAGCTGGGTTTTATAAAACCTTTTCATTTAGGCCTTCACCGCCATGTGCAAAAAAAGAAAAGGTTCAGTCAACTTCAACTTCTCCTGGGGAAAAAAAAGTTCTTGCAAAGTTGGAATTGATTGATTGAACTTTTTAGTCCCACCCAGTCTGCCATTACCACTGCAGCGATGCCCACCCAATGGGCCACACCTACCCGGCACTCGATGATGCATGTAGGTTTTGGGTTGCAGTTTGGGCAGTCTCTAAAAGGTTCACCATCACTGGCCTAGATATACCTAACTCTCTCAACCAATTGTCATTTAGCATCCAGACCATTTATGATCTTTCTCCTTCTCTGCACATTTTCCAGGGCCTCAACATGTGTTGAATCATGGGACCAGAACGGGGTGCAGTATTCTAAATGTGGACTCACCAGTGTGGTGTAAAGTGGTACTATCATGTCTTGTTGACTTGACACTATCACGCAGTTGATGCAACCTACAACTACATTGGTTTGGGGGGGGAGGGGAAGCTGCAGCAGATTCCCTGCTCCTACCGGTCCATTACGACACCTAGATTCCTCTGTTGAGCCAGATATTACATATTCTATTCCTGTTCTTTTCGTTTTTCCTACCTAGGTATAGGACCTTATTTTATTCACCAATGAGCTGCATTTTCTTGGCCCAGTGCTCAAATGTGTCAAGATCCTTCTGGATCTTGAGCCCATCTTCTAAAGTATTGGCTCTTTTCCCCAACTTGGTGTCATCTGCAAATTTCATTTGTTCCCCTTCTATCCCCTCCTCTAAATCATTTATGAAGATGTTGAAGAGTCCTGGGCCCAAGATCGAACCTTGAGGTACCCCACTGTGTGCTTCTCTCTATGTAGATGTAGTTCCATTGAGGAATACCCACTGAGTGTGGTTGGTCAGTCAATTGCGAATGCACCCAGTCCTGCTTCTGTCTATCCCATGTTGTTCTGTCTTATCAAAAAGTTAACTTGTGCTCTACCTTGTCAAATGTCTTGCTGACGTCCAAGTATACTATCTCCAAAACATTTTGCAAATCCACTAATTACGTTACTTCATCAAAAATGGCAATAATGCTTATCTGGCATCAAATTAACAAACCCATTTTGGCTTATTACAGCTGCCTATCATTTCTGATTCTCCAGAAGTATTAGTGGAAACAGAAGTTTACTTTAATTCATTAATTAATTAAACAACTTGTGAAATTCTCAGTCTTTTAAAAGAAGAAATAAAATCAGGGGGGACAGGACCCAGAAGAACCAAGAGAGGTTACAGGCACCTTCAAATGCCCAGAGTGTCACACTCAGGACCAGCTTTCAGACTGAGCAGCCAACTTATTCTTAAGTTAAAGAAATTCATTCCCGACATTTTTTTAACATTTGTGTCTACTCATTGTCGCCATCAGTGGGGACCTGAACTTCCATGATGTCTGTCGAATCTGGTTCAGAATTTGGAGAATCATCAGGGAAATCAGAGAGATCCTCTGTGATTCTTTGATTTTCAAAGGCTACAAACCGACTAGAAAAATAAGTGGCTGTTTTAGAGGGAAACTGTAGCTTAGTTGTCCAGTTTGAAATGTCCTAATTTCCCTCTGTCAGACTGGCAGTGATGGAGAAGACAATCGCTGAATCTGAGAAGGATGCCAATCAAAACATATCCAGTTAGCCGTTCTAATTTTTAAACTGTGCCTAATGAATTGCTGTATTTTCATAGAATTTAGGACGTGGGCAGATAGAAATGCAACAATAAATTAAGAAGCCTAACTGCAGCTCACGTCATCAGAGGAAGAGAGTGGCGGGACTGATGTGTGATTGAAACTGACATTTTAAATTTATAAATGAGGAGGGAAGGGAGGCTGAGTAAAACAGATTACTTAGAGATGCAGATTGCACGAGACAGATTACAAGTTAAAAACTTTATGTGTTAGAAACCTACTGTATGTATCACTGAGCAAGAGTTGGGTAATGAGCTTTACATTACCTTATTAAATTCATTCAGTATTAAACTTAACCACTGCCCATCTCGCCATCTGAGGCAACTCTGAGTGAATTCCCTTCACCTAATGTCCATAACAACACTGGATTTCTCAGTGAAATATTTCCCACAATCAGGACAAAGGGTTTTTCTCCTGTGTGAGTCCTCTGGTGATTCACAAGGCTGGAATTGTGACTGAATCTTTCCCCACAATCTGGACATTCAAAGGGTTTCTCTCGTGTGTGAATCCTCTGGTGTCTCACAAGGTTGGAATTATCACTGAAACCTTTCCCACAATCAGGACATTCATACGGTTTCTCTCCTGTGTGAGTGCTCTGGTGTATCACAAGGCTGGAATTCTGATTGAAACTTTTGCCACAATCTGGACATTCAAAGGGTTTCTCTCCTGTGTGAATCCTCTGATGTCTCACAAAGCTGGAACTCTCACTGAAATCTTTCCCACAATCAGGACATTCATACGGTTTCTCTCCTGTGTGAGTCCTTTGGTGTTTCACAAGGCTGGAATTCAGACTGAAACGTTTCCCACAATCAAGACATTCATACGGTTTCTCTCCTGTGTGAGTCCTCTGATGTATCACAAGGCTGGATTTGTGACTGAAACTTTTCCCACAATCAGGACATTCAAAGGGTTTCTCTCCTGTGTGAATACTCTGATGTCTCACCAGGTTGGACTTGCGACTGAAACTATTCCCACAATCAGGACATTCAAAGGGTTTCTCTCCTATGTGAGTCTTCTGGTGTATCATCAGGTTGTACTTGTGACTGAAACTATTCCCACAGATAGCACATTCAAAGGGTTTCTCCCTTGTGTGAGTCATCTGGTGTTTCACAAGGCTAGAATTATGATTGAAACTTTTCCCACAATCACGACATTCAAAGGGTTTCCCTCCTGTGTTAGTCTTTTGGTGTTTCAAAAGGCTGGATTTCTGACTGAAATCTTTTCCACAATCAGGACATTCAAAGGGTTTCTCTCCTGTGTGAGTCCTCTGGTGTATCACCAGGCTGCATTTGTGACTGAAACTTTTCCCACAATCAGGACATTCAAAAGGTTTCTCTCCTGTGTGAGTCCTCTGGTGTATCACCAGGTTGGACTTGCGACTGAAACTATTCCCACAGATAGCACATTCAAAGAGTTTCTCTCTTGTGTGAGTCATCTGGTGTTTCTCAAGGCTGGAATTATGACTGAAACTTTTCCCACAATCAGGACATTCAAAGGGTTTCTCTCCTGTGTGAGTCCTCTGGTGTTTCACAAGGCTGGAATTCACACTGAAATTTTTCCCACAATCAGGACATTCAAAGGGTTTCTCTCCTGTGTGAGTCCTCTGGTGTTTCACAAGGCTGGAATTCTCACTGAAATCTTTCCCACAATCAGGACATTCGAAGTGTTTCTCTCCTGTGTGGGTCCTCTGGTGTCACATGACATGGGAATTTCTAATGAAACTTTCACACAATCAGTACAGTCATAGGTTTTCTTCCTGCTGTGAATCCTCTGATGTATCACCACGTTGCCATGCTCACTAAAGCATTTACTCCATTTTCTTCCTCACAGGGCGAGGCCTGCATTACTCTCTGCTCTATATGACTTTCCAACAGACCTTTTCTTCCAATAGTCTTCCAGATATTTCCCTTCACTTTGCATGTAAGGTATCCTTGAGTTTTGAATAATTATTTATTCCAGCTTGAAATCTTTCTTGATTTTCTCTCTTTTTTTCTATGAGCTGTTGAAGGAGGAAGAGAATTGTATGGTTTTCTGAAGGAAATGGAAAATATTTTGATTTCTGGCTCAGTTTGCTTTCCTTTTAATGTTGCTTGTTATTCTTCGCAGTCCAGAGTGCTTTTATTGCCATCCTCTTTGTCTATAAGATTCAAAGAAAAGTGTCATTAAATGGTTACAGATGTGGAAAAGAATATATATATACATTACAATGAAAAAGCAAACATGCCACGATACTAGAATAATCTCATACATTAATTATGATTCATTTCAGACACGGAAGACTATCTAAATCCAAGTTCAGATATCTGTTCAATCATAAAATTCTCTTGTTGACTTGGATCAATCACAAATTCTTAACAATTCAAAGGGTTATCATCAAATATAAAGTGCTGAGGCTAAATTTTATAATTGCAGATATATGCATACAGAGAAAAATATAGACACACACCTACAAATGTGTATATGAAGAAAATCTATGTCTTTCAAGCCTGGAAAAATATCCCCAAATAGTTTACAGTCAAAGCTTTTCAGCTAATTTTAGAGATGTGAATGAAAAATTAATTACAAAAGTAGTAAAATAGGAAAAAAAGGAAGAAAAAGATTACCTTAGGGTTTTCTTAAAATGCCAGAAGAAATCTGCGTACAGAATGTCTGGAGGGAAATGAACCTAAAAAAGACTCAGTATACATTTTATTCAAATAGACAAAAATCATGATATGGATGTCCCCTAAATTAAGAACTATAGCAGTAAAGGAAATGGAATTCTTTTTCAAAGAAAATAAAAATGAAGACGCTTTACTCCAGTACATACGGGATATAGTCAAAACATACTTCAGAGGTTTAGCTATAACTTATACGGCTGAAAAGAATAAAGAGAAAAAGTAACAGTGTACAACGCTAAGGGAAGAGTTTAAAAACTTGGAGGTAAACTAAATCTAATAGAGTCAGAAGAGTTGGCTCAACAAATCAGAAGGGCAAAACAATTTTTTTTCGAAAATGCAAATAATCCGGGAAGATGGTTGATAAACGAATTGCAAGATGAGAAGGGAGATATGTAACTCCAAAATGAGGCAATAAAAAAATAGTTAAAGAATATTATGAAAAACTATATGATATAGAAAAAAAATCTCTCTGGGAAAAACAACACGATATATAGAAAAAGCCAATCTACCAAAAATTTCAGAAAATTTTAAAAGCATGCTAAACAAAAAAATAACAATGATGAAACTGATGGAAGCTATAAAAAGACAAAAACATGATAAAACTCCAGGACTGGATGGACTACCTACAGTGTTCTATAAATGCTTTCAAGATACATTAATTCAGACAATATATCATAAACAAACAGCAAAACTAATTGTAAATGGGGACTACACAGGGAATTTTAATATAAAGAAAGGCACAAGACAAGGATATCCGTTATCCCCATTGCTATTTATATTGACATTGGAAGTTTTGAACAGCAACATCAGACAAGACCCAGAAATTAAAGGAATGGAGATAAAAGACAAAAGCTATAAATTACAAGCATTTGCAGATGACTTGCTATTTATCACAGAAGAACGATTGGAGACAACCCCTAAATTATTGAAAAGGATTGAGGAATTTGGAGAAGTAGCAGGATTGAAAATAAATAGAGAAAACAAAAGTTATAGTTAAAAACCTTACATCCAAACAAACAGAATAATTGTCAGAAAAAATTTGGGAATATACCTAACAGCAAGATGTGTAATGATAAAAGATAACTACATAAAATTACTTAATCAAATAAAATTAGATCTAGAAAAATGGAAAAACGTACAACTATCAGAGTTAGGAAGAATAGCTACTGTGAAAATGAATACTTTACCAAAACTGCTCTTCTTGTTCCAAACAGCACCTATAAAAACAGAGAAGAAATTTTTTGATGATTTAAATACTTTGATTTTGAAATTTATTTGGCAAGGAAGGAACGCCAGAATTAAACTGAAAATACTACAAGAATCCAAAGGAAAATGGAGAATTTGGATTACCAGATTGGGTCTTATATTATCAAACATGTGTCTTAATATGCCTAAAAGAATGAATAACTCTCAGACATAAAAGACAGTTATATCTAGAAGGACATGATCCGCAACTTGGTTGGCATGCATTTCTATGGTATGAGAAGAATAAATTCATAGATAGTTTTAAAATCATTATATAAGAAATATGCTACTTCTCCTGTGGAAAAAGATTAAAGATAAAATCTACTTGAGAATGCCAGGATGGCTTTCAACGATGGAAGCGTTTGTTGACCCAAATCAAGTGAAATATGAAAAAAAATGGACATATAAAGATATTTTGGATACCGAAGGGAATTTAAAATCTAAACAAGAGCTTGTAGACCAGGGTACTGAATTAGCATGGTGGCCTTGATTGCAAATGCAATCCAGTATGATAAAGATGAGAAAATGTATAGTTTTTATAAAGAAGAGACAATGTTTGATCAAATGCTGTTGACCTCTGATAAAAAAATGTTTAAGAAACTATATAACTTTCTATTAAATTCAAAACAGACTTACATTGTTATAGAATTAAAAAAAAACTTGAATCAGCTCTTTCAGGAAAGGGAAGTTTATTGCGCAGGTTCAGAGAGCCATCCTGGCTGAAGGAATCTGAACTCAGATTGTACATTGATGACCATTTTTATAACCCTTCAAGCAGAGTTATTTCCTGAGCAGGTCACATGCCTACATTCTATAGGTCCTTATTCTAACATGGGAAAACTACTGGACAGATCTATAATCGATAGCTCCTCGTTTACATTGGAATGTTTTTAGCAATCAGCAATATATCAAGTGTTAAGCAATTTAGATACACCATGTGACAAGCAGTTAGTAATATATCATGTGCAGAGCTGGGAACAGGATGTCTGGCCATCCTAAATTTAAGAGTTGTCTTGTAAGCAAAACAAACCTCCCTTACACACACAATCTTTGGTGGGCCATCTGCTTTTTACCCATATTCTTTGTCAGACCATTAATATTTTTCCAGGTACCACTTTATTCCCCCCTGATGAGACTTATCTCATCTATGCAGATAAGTTTCATTCCATAACACTTGGGTCTTATGTATGTATGTTGTTATACTCTTGTCTCTGGAATTCCCACATGTGAAGAACCACCCTTTAGGTAACCATATGTTTGCATACCCAAAAGACACTGTTTGGAAAAATGTGCAATTTAGCCTTTCTTGGCTCACTTTCAGGCAATGAGGTGAAGGTGTATTCTGCTCACACCCTGTGATATGTGCACATTATAAGTCTTCTGGAATGGCTACGTTAGGAGTATGTAAAGCTAAAGCATCAGTGGGTAGAAACTTGGAAATGTGACCCCGCTGTACATTGTTTCATAGCCTATGTGTTCTTTAAACTCGTGGTGACTGAACTCCTTGGCTGCTGTGACAGGAACACATACGGGTATTAAACATGTGGACAGCAAATTTTCCATGTCATATGCTTCAGAAAGGCAAAAATCAGTTGTGTTGGCTAGTTTAGCCAATTGACCCACAAATTATATTGCATCCTTGACTCCAATGGATGGGGCATATCCTTATTCTGCTGGGACCTTTTGCTTCGTTTTCTCTCTGGGCGCTTCCTCGGGGGTCGTTGGTTAGTAACTCCTAATTCCCCCGGGATTACATGTACGATGCAAGTCCCCTTCCATCCCGTCTTCAACTGCGAGACTAGGGTGACCCGCTCCCATCCCCAGAATAAGGGAGGCCCACACTCCAGAGTAACAGGAGGAGGAGGCTTCTTATATGGGGCCTTTACACATATGCCTTTCCTAAGAATATACCCAACATACTGACAGGCTTCGGGATTGACAGGTGGTCTTGTAATACAGGCTTCTTTAACTATTCTGTCAAATGCTTGGGGAAATTGACAAGGATGAGGCCAGCTACCATTCCAGCATTCTGGGGAAAATCCAATAGGGGGGTGACCTTTGCAAGTGCCCGTGCCTATAGCATAAGATTGGATAAGGCGTGGAGCTTCTTCTGGCTTGCTCCATTGGCCTAAATTAGAAAGACAAACATTATTACATGCAACAATAGTACTATATAAAAGCAGAAGGAAGCCTTTCATCCTTTCTTCTCCCGTGCGTAGAAAGCCAGCTTCCGGGTGTGGCTTAGCAGGGGGTTGAATTTCAGCCAGACAGCCGTAGATATATGTACAGGATACACTTGTGCTAATACAATATCTGGTTTACAAACAATAAAATATTCATTAAACATACTAAACACGTTTAAGAGTGAGTTTGGTGGGAACCTTGGGGTCCCTGTTCACTGTCCACAGAGGTTCTGCAGCTGCTTTAACTCTGGTCCAGTGAATCCAAGATTTAGATTCTGCAATCTTTATTGCTAAAGGAGAGGCCATTATTACTTCATAAGGTCCTTTCCATCTCCCCTCCAGTTGTTCATGTCTCCAATGTTTTACCCACACCTTATCCCCTGGTTTAAAGGGATGACATCTTGTTATTAGTTTAGGAGGTGTTTGTTCAACAACATAATTCCTAAGTTTTTCCACTTGCTTATTCAGTTCCCCCATACTCCCCCCTGATGGCCCTTTACAATGCATAACTGAAACCTTTGCTGGCTTTTGTACTGCATCGAGAAGATGCTTTA